CATACAGAACTGGGGTATAGGCCAGAGGCACAGGGGCGGTAAGAGGATTCACCAGAGACAGAGTGGGGAGCAGAACATGCCTACTGATGAAATACACTGCTGAGGGGAGCAGCGGGTGAGACCAGAGGTCTGCCACACCATGTGGTCCCGTTGGGGTGGGGCCTGGGAATTGAACTCATACTGAGGTGGCTGAGGCTAGCTTGCAGTGCTGTGCTTTAACCCACTGCTCCACCAGGGAGGGCCCCTGAATGCTATCTTTCAGGCAGTAAAGTCAAGGCCAGAGGGGACACATTTCCAGGCTGGGATCCTCCTCCTCTTGATTCTCCCTCCCTGATAGTGATGGAGCTCGACGGCCATTCCCTTGCTTATATCTCTGCCTTCACTCCTCATCACGCTGAGTACATAACATGTCCTTGCTTTTTAACAGAGCAGACAGGATCCCATGACCAGGACTCCTTTTGTGTCTCCAGGCTCATTCAGTGCATCACAAAGAAACAAGTTCTGAAAACCCTGGAAGCTGTAATTGCATTATATCCACATCATGGTGATTCTTTTATTGACTTGGGATCAAAAGAACTCAGGACACTCTTCCCAACTTCATAATAGTTTGCATCGATACATTGGTTAGCAGCATACAGACAATTTTAGATACTGAAATTAGAAGAGGAGTTGCGAAATTTTTCACAAATCCAACCAGGTGTAATGTAGTTGTATAGCCACACTGAAGGCAGTCTTGGATTTAATGAATTGTCCCATGGCTTGGCCTTTTAGGGGAGCTCAATCTTTACAAGTTAATTAGCATACACTTGACACTAAAATCAGAAACAGAACAAATGACTCCGGGTTTACTTACAGAACTTTAAGACTATCAAGGCCAGCAAATGCTCCCTTGGGAATGTATGTCAAAGCGTTTCCGGCAAGACGTCTGTGGGTTGAGAGAGAGAGAGGGGAGAGAGTGAGCATAGCATGGTCTTCATGTGGAATTCATTTAGTTGTTAAAAAATGCGATTATGTTCAAACCGCAAATGCCAAAAGCAGCTGTAAAGAACCTTGTTTTCTATTTTGTGAAAAAATTCTGCAAATTTCTAATCAAAATGCTGGCAAAAGAAGTACCTAAGAAGAAATATAACAAATTACCTATTTTACAATAAATCATTTAGTTTACACTCCATGTAAAAGTCTCCTTTTAAAAATATTTACACAAAAGCTAACACCATATAATAACCTAAAAATGTGTAATGTCAAAATGTGATTGTCACATGATTTTTACAATTAATGTTTATAGACATAAATAAATGAGATCAACATGAGAATATTCCTGTTGCAATAATACCATACAATTTCCTACTCAATTTAGCAAATCGGAATGCAGACTATCACAATCAGGTTTTTTTAAAAAAAAAAAAAAATTTAACCAGAAACTCAACCAGAAAAGGATAGAATAATTAATTTAACATGTTTTAATTGAGCAATGCCTTAAAAAAAATCGAAAACAGTAGTTAAGTGTTTTGTGTGGAAGACCTTAACATGGTTTATTTAGTGGAAAATTTGACATCATTTACTGGTAAAATGTGAAAGATTCCTTTTATAGTATTTTTTTTTAAAGATTTATTTATGCATGGGGTACAGGCCAGGGGTGCAGGGGTGGTGAGAGGATCCACCAGAGACAGAGTGGGGAGCAGAATAGGCAGATAGACGAAGGACACTGCTGAGGGGAGCAATGGGCGGGTCAAGAGAGGTCTGTGGCTCCATGCGTCACCTCCAGGGCCAGGGATCAAGCTCCTAGAGGCAGCTGTGCTGTGTCCTAACCATTGCACCACCAGGGAGGCCCCCCATGCCCCACCCCCCGCTTTTTTTTTTAACTATAAAGCAACGGTCTTGAAGTATCTAAGAGGCTCTGTGACCTGACTTTGTTTAGCACCAACTTACTGTGAGCTAATATTTCTGAGTTTTATTTTCTCATGAATTACAAGAATTGTTAAGATAAGATGGCATCTCAGATCCTCTCCAGCTCTCAAGACACTATTATTTCCTTACTTTGTATTGTGTTTGTATCTGATTTTCTGTCCCTTAACAGATATAATTATTTTTAAGATTCAGATAGCTCTTGGACTATACTCCTGTCTTCCTCATGGTGCCTGAACAGTGTTTTTCAAACTATAAATAAATGTAGTGCCTCAGGATATTATTAAGAAAAATTACAAAACAGAAAAATAACAGGATGCGTTTTCTACTCCAGTAGAATAGGACTGTTTTATGAAATCTTTGTTTCCAAATATATTTGTGAAATTGGATTGAGGGGGAGAAATACATTCTTCTTATATAGACTCAGCAAAGTTTGCAAGGCCCTAGCCAAGGGCACAGAAGACTTTCAACAGATAATATGCTAATCACATGTAATTCAGCTAATATTTGACCACAGTGATTTTAGAGGTGTTTTATTTTCTTACTTCCTAAAAGTCCTCGTAGTAGAAAACCCTTTTTTCATTAACACACTGAAGGGTCAGTTTCTCCCTATTTCCACTCATTCTAAAGCCACTGACGGTCTTTGTGAAGCCAGCACTGGTCATATCACTGTCCTGTTGAAAACCCTTCATGAGGTTCGTGCTGAGTGAAAAAAAACACGAGGACTGTAGAAACTGTGATGTGAAAGAGGTGCTTTAAGAGACTCAGGCTTGGCTGATTCCAGATGACTTTACTGATCAAACTAAACTAGTGACTGTGATTTCAGCCCAAACCCCCTGGCTCTCCTGTTCCATCCTGACTGCAACGGCACATTTGTGAGTTCTGAAAGGTGATCTGACAGTGGGAGCTTATCAACTCCCACTGCTGTGCTAGCATCAAGGAGATTGATGGTTTAGAAGACACTGATTTTGGAAATGGAAAGGAACAAGGAAAAACTTTATTATTAGTTTAAATGATATTAGGGTAAATACCTTCCTGTTATGTTTCCTGAAACATAGCACACTCTATATGCATTGTTTTTCTTTTCTGGACAAGGACTTTCAGAGTCCCTGAACTTTCAGAACTAATCTGTGCAACCACTGACCTGTGCTACCAGGGGAATTTGTCTTAATGTAAAGGAAGTTATGATTTGCTATTAGCTGTTTGCTGGGCTGATGGGAGATCTATCTCATTGACAAAAACAACAATGTAAGGAAATCATTGCATCCTTCTCTTCTTATTTCTTTACCATATGGGATAGTTTTACTAATATTAAAATTAAATACATTTAGACTCATAGGAAGGAAAAAGACTTTCAAGTGAGTTCACAAATGCAACTGCACACAAATCTTTCTGTGACAACCACGTAACAAATCTTTGGGCAGCCATGTTCCAAGTCTCACTCACATGCCAATTAGCTGTGAGGTTTATTTTGTTTTATTTCTGAAATTATTTCAGGGGAATATCTATTTCATTATCTTCATTTCTATAATAAACACAACTTAATAAAAACCTTTTATGTCTTTTTATACATTACTAAAGAAAAGCTTTATTTTATTAAAGATTTATTTATTTATGCTTACAGAACTGGGGTACAGGCCAGAGGTGTGGGGTGAGAGGATTCACCAGAGGCAGAGTGGGGAACAGAACAGGCAGGTTGACTGAAATACACTGCTGAGGGGAGCAGCGGGCAGGTCATAAAGGTCTACTGTACCATGTGGGTCAGCGCCCTGGCCAGGGATCGAACTTGTGCTGCAGTGGATTTGGAGAGCTGCATTATGCAGTGCTTTAACCCGTTGCAAAACCAGGGAAAGCCAAAAAAAAAAAAAGTCTTTATTTTTAAAGAAACCACTCCATATATATTGAGACTCACATGGTTCCATCACTGTTCGATTTCCTGACATTACTGCTATAAAATGGAAAAATATCATTAAGTTACAGGAGATGTATTCCTCTTCAAGTGAATGAAATAAGTAGTTGTTCTAGGCCCTTGCTGCTTGTTTAAGGGGTTAAAGCACAGCACTATGTAGCTATCTGAAGACATTACAGCACGAGTTTGATCCCTGGCTGCTTCCTCTCAGCAGTGTACTTCAACAGATCCACCTGCTCTGCTCCTCACTCAGTCTCGGGTTACTCCTGTAACCTATAGCTCAGTTCTTGTATGCATAAATAAATAAATCTTTAAAAAAGAATCATTTGTTATTCTGATACTATAAAAATCAATTAAAATAGGCCCTCCCTGGAGGCGTGGGGGGTTAAAGCACAGCACTGTGAAGCTAGTGGCAGCTTGGTCAGCAGTGTAAAAGTGAGTTCGATCCCAGGCTCTGGAGGTGACCCACATGGCACAGCAGACCTCTTCCATCTCTCCTGCTGCTCCCCTTAGCAGTGTACTTTTGTGGATCTGCCTGTTTTGCTCCCCACTCTGTCCCTGGTGAATCCTTTCACCCTACACCTCTAGCCTGTACCCCAGTTCTGTAAACATAAATAAATAAATCTTAAAAAAAATAAATTAAAATGTTTTTGAGAATACATGATTCATTGATTCTTTAATTTAAAGGATTTTTGATTTTTCAGTAGCTTCATTTTGTAAAATGGAATGACAAGAGCGAAACAATCAGCTATGGATGTTGATTACTCCTCTCTGGACGTTGGTGTGGAGAGGAATTCCATAGATTAGAAACAAGGGGGTGAGCACCGAAGGTGGAAGGGGGTGTGTAGGGTAAGTGACCATCAGGTTTTAACAATGCTGACCTCAATGGCGATCACCTGCGGCCTTGAATGCAGAAGGCCCTTGGGCGCATGGGCGCAGGGCATGCGGACCTGATGGTGGACACCTGGAGTGCGGGGTGGGCTTGTGCCAGTGGGCACAGCTGGGCCTGAAGCCTGAGGCAGTAAGGGCGGCGTCACACAGGGACGGCTGCGATGGGTAATGGCTGCCAGAGGGAGAGGCCGTGAGAGCACGCCAGAGGAAGCCCAAGGAGAAAGCCGACAGAGACTGCCAGGGCTGCCCGACTTGCTGTTTCCCGCTGGCTTGTTCCCCTGCGTACTATTAAAACCTGTGGGGGTGATGTCCAGCGCTCTCCAAGTTTCTCTTTTAAGCTGCCAGAACCTCCGGCGAATCTACCTGGCCTGGGCTGGTTCCAGAACAGGGTGCTTATCCCTGCTCTGGACAAGTGGCGATTGGGACTGGAATCCCTGGGAAAAGGACTGTGCAGGGAACCACGGTCCTCTGTGACCCTGGTCTGTAGCTGGCCAGCAGCATTTTCACAGCTAAGTGAGAAGGCCTGGCAAGTTCCCGCAGGTCTCCAGGGACAGCTTTGTGAGTATCTTTTTGACTTGTATTCTCCGCATCTTCCCTTCTTGTTTTTCTTTCTTCTCGTCCCTACTGAGCTGTTGTGACACTTAACAAAAGTCACTTAGCTTCGCAGAATCTCATTGCACAGAAGTGGGGTACAGAGATGTGAGGGCGGTGGGAGGATTCGCCAGAGACATCGTGGAGAGCAGAACAGGCCGACTGATGAAGTTCACTGCTGAGGGGGGCAGTGGGCGGGTCAGGAGAGGTCTGCCGCGCCCTGTGGGTCACCTCCGGGGCTGGGGATCCGACTTGCACTAAAAGCGGCCACTGCAACCTTGAAGTGCTACGCTCCACCCCTCTGCGCCACCAGAGAGGTCGCTGCACTTATTTTTTTAAAAATAAAATTCCACTAAGGTCTTTTTCTGCCCTAATCTTGTTTTTTGTGTTAACTTGAAATTCCTGCTTACCCTCCTTTTTTTCCTCCTTCAGCTTCCCTGTCCATTGTCTTCTAATTTATTATCAGGTTTCTTTATTACATGTCATTAAAATTTTAAAGCCACTTTCCTATACTTTATATTAGGAGGTAGATCAGAGGATATTATTGTCCATATTTTGTAAATAAAGATATCAAAGTTCAGAAAGGTTTTACAGAAAATGAAAAATGCCCTTTTCTTTATTTCACTTAA